GCCAATGAAAGACAACCAAAAGGAGCAAGTTTGGCAAGTTTAAGCCTAGTGGACTTCAACTCCTAGAATTCCTGAGCTAACATGACTGGAGGAAGAATTCTGGGAGTTGAAGTCCACAAGTCTTAAATCTGTCAAGTTTGAAGACTTGCCCTAGAGCTTTCATACATCTGCCTTCTAATACAACTAATACAATTCAGTATTTAAAATTCTGCAATTATGTGAAGAAACAGGTGGCAACTATGCATATAGGATAGGGAAAATAACATTTATGTACATTCCTGTGTTGTTTACTTAGTCCTGTTTTAGCATGGGGTTGGACTAGAAGACTACAAAGTCTGGCCCTAGGATTTTATTAGAGTTCAGATGAATTACAGCAAAGCTACAGCAAATGCACTATCACAGGGGTCTTCAAACTTGGCAAGTTTAAGACTTGTGGACTTTAACTCTCAGAATTCCTTCTCCAGTCATGTTAGCTCAGGAATTCTAGGAGTTGAAGTCCACTAGTCTTAAACTTGCCAAGTTTGAAGACCCTTGCACTATCAGAATAACAGAAATACATAGATCAACTGATGTGGCCTTCATTTACTGCATCAAAACTTTCTGCCAAACTAAGCAAATCAGCCAGGAAGTTAGTCTTTGATCAGCATAGCTATAATTGCATGTTTGAACATTAACCACCAAGAGCAGAGCTCCTGTAGAGATTAGAGAGGCTCCATATACCAATAACGCCTTCCAGCAGACTTTATTATGTTGTTCATTTTCTGCATGGACATGCATTTATTTTCCTCTCTGAAAGGTAAGCATGTCTTCTCTGCTCTAGAGCTATTGTCATCCTTTGACATGGATAATAGAACACTCTGGTAGGTTTTTCTGGATTTTACTGCTTTTGATACCAGTTCTAACATTTTTCTAACCACCTTATCTAGGCTTTTTTTAAATCCAGTTGGTGGTGTCAGATTCTTTTGATTCTATTATAAGAGCTAACTAATTTGTATCTGTTCCCTTGCTGGCTGGATAGACCACATTATGTAGATTGACTGAAGTGGTGCATAATCTTGTTTTGAATATTAAATGCTGAGGATTGATGACCCCTTGCTAACCATTAAACATAAGAAATCATCTTGAATTATCTTATGAAAAAAATATGCATTTACAACATCCTTAAGCAAAGCTATCACATTTTTATCCCAAGGTAGTAATAGCTTTAGTACCCCAAAAAATATTTTCAGGTAAACCCACTCAGGTGAGAAAATATAGCTCATTATATATAGTTCTTGCATTAGATCTTTGGTTGCATTCTTTTTTACAATTTTCACGATATCGGAATAGAATTTGGGTGGCTATAACAAAAAAATCTACAGTAACCAAAGATGAGAATGCCAGTAAAACTGTTCAAACTAGTTTTATACTCTGCATGTAGATTATAGAACAATGCTGGTTAATTTGGAAATGACAACATAGAGGCCAATAATATGAATTATCCTGATCTAGTTTGGCAGTTAGTTTCCAGTCTTGCTCAGAAAACCAGAGTCAGTCAGCCTTGTAAGTGCTGCTAGCAAATCATTTGATCAGAACATACTATAGATAAAATATACCGACTAGCCTCTCTGTTCCTACAGGCAAAAGTGACTGTCAGCACACATAAAATAAAACCACATCCCAGTAGAGTTATGAAAAAATGTTAATTTAAAACAGCTCACTACAAACCTTCGTGGTATTTCATTCCAAACTTGGCTATGGTAGCATTGATTCAACAAGCATTAAAAGGATACTGAGTAATCTACCCAGTCTAGTTTCAGTGCTTTATTTTGACACACTTGAGTATGTTATTGGCTCTGAATAAGAAATAATTATATTTAGTATGAAGTTTAAAAGCACATCACAAATCGGATCAACTGCATCTGGATTAGAACAATCCACATAACTAACAGATGGCAGCATGAAATACAAAAAGGTTAACTGCTATCTTTTTTGCCAGAGGTTAAAGGTTAAAATTTCCCTGTGCAGTCATGTCCGACTCTGGGCACAGTGCTTATCTCCATTTCTTGGCCAAGGGAGCCAGCACTGTCCTCAGAAATTTCTGTGGTCTTGTGGCCAGTATGGCTATACCCCAAAGGCGCACAGAACGCTGTTACTTCCCACCAGTGGTACCTATTAATCTCATATTTGCATGTTTTGACCTGCTAGGTGGACAGGAGAGTCCTAATTTTAATGTATGCAAATTGGATTCTTTGAATTGATGGCTTTTCAGCCAGCATATCATGCCAAAAGAAAAGAATGCAGCAATCTTGGCATTTTCTTCCGGCAGTTTCCAAATGATGTGAGATAAGGGAAATCTGCACCTCCTCCAGCATTCCATCAGTGGCGTTAGCTGAGCAAAACCTTTCAGATGCATCTAGTATCTTGGTTTTGCGAAAGCTGGCAGACATGCTAGAATAAATCCACCATCGTAATGCAATTAATATCCATTCTGTCTATTAAGCAAAAGCTTATTTCATAAATTACAGTTAAAACAGGCTTCTAGAATTGGTGCATCTAGCATATTGTGCAGAATATTATTTGTTACTTTTTTCAAGGCATGATTTTTACATCAGCTCGAATGTATTATTTACAAAACAGAGCAAGCACACTTTTAAATTAAATGTCAGTATTGTTCCTGTTTATATTGACCATTTTTTGTTGAAAACCACCATTTTCATTGGTTTTTCTAAGGTTTTTTTAGAAGCTGTAAAATAGCAGTTTGTGTTTATTTGATAGAATTGTACAAACTAGTTATTTATACAGAGACATTTATAACACTTTTATAAATGTTCTTATATTCTGAATAAAAATTTAATGCTGAAAAGGCATTCAATCTTCTTTCCTACAGATTACTTTATATTTTGCCCTTTTTTGTCAAAAGCCCCGGATTTTTGGGGGGGGGGGGCTGTAAAATGTTTCTCAAGCTGAAGCTATTATATATGTAGGAATATTTTATAGCAAGGGTCTCCAGTGCTGGGCCATGGAGTTGTGGGCGAGAGCATTGGTGTGAAACTACATTTGTAAACGCGGTGTGTGCACGCACACAAAACCATGCTATCTCCCCCTTACACCACCACCGATCCGGAAAGGTTGGAGACTGCTGTTTTATAGCTCTCGTTTCCATACCACTTGGAACCACTATACCAGAGATTGCCAACCTTTTGGACCTCAGAGACCACCAAACTCAATTTTAAATCCCAGGGACCACTAACCCATTCCGTGGGTGTGGCCTAATTTGTGGGTGTGGCTTGGTGGTCATGTGACTGGCTGGGCATAGCTTTTATGTAAATATTATATTTATATAAATATTGAATTTTTTATTTAAAAAGAGCAACTTTTACCCAAAATCAGGAAAAGCAGGCAGGCAGATTGAGTTGCTCATAGAATCAGATTCATTCAGAGATCTATCGATCTGCCATTGGCTAGCTGAGTCTGTCACATAAAATTTGCTTGCAAGCAAACTCACAAAATTAACTCACAACACACCATATATGTAAATATTCAATTTTTTATTTAAAAAAAAAACAACTTTTACCCAAAATCAGGCAAAGCAGGCAGGCAGATTAAGTTTCTCACAGAATCATTCGGATCTAAAGATCTAGAAAGCAAGAAGTCCAACGATTTCCTGCTTCCTAGCTAATCTGAATCTCCACAGCAGAACACCTGGTCGGAAAAAGGAAAAAATAGCAATTTAGCAGGCACATTTACCGGGTAAGGAGTGAGTGGGCAGTGAGGGTTCCCGCAGGCCATGTGGGCGGCACAGCCTTATGTTTCTGCATAGCCTGGATTAATTGTTTTGCTGGGGTGCTCTGGGGGTGAGATTTCTCTGCGGCCCACCAAAATTTTCTCGCGGCCCACCAGTTGGCGACTACTGCACTATACTACTATTAACTACCATAGCCTATTCTAGCTATGCAGACTTCAGTGTTGGCTTGGAAATTTTAAGGCTTGACATTTGCACAGCTGGAGGATATCCAACTTAAGATCACCCTCCACTTTACATTTGTTTACATGATTGTTATGACTGAAAATTGTTTAATATCATAAGAATTGTGCATAATGTATTTCTTATTTAACAAAACTCATCATTTTAGAAATGTATTTAGCCACCCAATATAGAATATGGCACTTTTTAAACCAATACTGGATAAAATGCTTAAAAATAGCTTCTATTGTATATCTTATTGCAAAATATGCTATTTTCCTTTTGAGCAGGAAAGCATCTTGCAATCAAGAATCCTGAAAAAGGAAAGTCCATAATCCAGGAAAATTTCTGAGCAAGTTCAGCTAAATGTAGCAACATTATAGCTGTTATTTTTTAAAGTACATCTCAGTAAACACACAAAACCATACACATTATATACTCGACATCTGATTATATTTTGAAGACGATCTTGATTTATTTTAAAAAATATAAATGGAAAACATATAAGAAGATCCAGAAAGTAATAAAGACACTGGTGGCAATGCAACCTAAGTTCACTGAAATTCCCTGTTAAGGGCAAGATGCTTGACGGTGGTTTACAATTTAAATACTGCTATCATTTAATATATATTAATGTACTGTATGTAAATAAATGTTAGTTGCAGTTTCTTTGCAATATGTCAGTTATAAAGTCCAAGCAACATACTGCAGTCTTGCAGTTCAGAAACATACTGTTTCAAATTGTTACCACAAGTCCCGTTCTTATAGTTCTTTTCAAAATACAAATTATCTTGGTGAACATATAAAACCATACACCGTAGATACTTGGCATCTTATTATATTTCAAAGACAATCTTGGTTTATTTTAAAAATATGAATGGAAAAAAAATTCTATCCTCTAACATATAATAGAAGAAATGCTCTGCTAACCAACCCATTGTTCCTCACTTTGGTCAGAACCAACGTTTCTTGCTATTAAAAATGGTAAAACAATAAAAACGAATGATTGCAAAAATCTGCAGTGTCCATTGCCTCAAATCTTCCATAAGTCTTGGCAAGCAATAAAGATATTTAAACCAAATATATTAGATCACTGTGAACTAATAATTCAAATTCCCAAATGGGTTCTTGTTACCCACTACTACTGCATTTTCGGTTATAATTTTAATTGCCATCTCATCAAAAACAAGCTGTTACTATTGCAGTGTCATTCTTTTATACCATATAACAGTGAACATTAACTATTATTTTATTTAAAAATAAAAACACCTTAGGCATGTGGTGAGAGGCCACTCACTACAATGAATTAAGATCGATCTTTAAAGAATAAACTGGTCAAGAAAAACTAATTTGGACATCAAATTTATATATTTATATCTGCCATTATGGAAAAAAAAATACATTTTCTAGAAATAAGCCACAATGCATACTGAATATTCATTTTATGACACTCGACTATTTAACTGATTTACCAATAGAAAAAAATTTACATTTTACAATATGTTGCAAAAAGCTATTTTTTTTACACAACATTAAATTATAGTAACAACTTCAGAAAAACTCATTTCAAAACAGGACCCCAAAATGCGGTTTATTTTTCTAAAATTACAGGTTCATTTCAGTTCTTTAATATTTATGGTGTTTCTTAACCAAATTATAATTACTTTTATCACATCAAAAAGCTTGTATGTGTCCAGCAGTATTTTCATTCACCCCACCCACACACATACAAAACTGCATTAGAAACTTTTTTCATATACAAAATTACTTTGGAAACATCCCCTGGTTTCAAAAAAATCACTGCCATCTAGTATGAGATACTGTTGCCTAAGGAAAGTTCAAAATCTTGAACGTATGGAACAAGTATGATTGATGAATCCTGATCGCTGAAGCAAAAGGCTGATTCTCTGTTGATACTAAAAGCTGGATGTGTGCTTCAAAACCCATAAAAACACAGATCTTTTCAAGAATCAGGTAAGAAAAATGGGATCTTCTTGCATCATTTCTGACAAACATACTTGGAAGAACAAATGAAATGTATACTGAATATAAGCATTGGGGACATTTTGCATCTATCGGTGTTTTCAGCATATAGTAGCAGTTTAAGTCAAATTCCTGCTTCTTGAAAAAGAATACCGAATTTCGGCTTTAGTAATAGGCAGCTTTCCTATAAGGAAGCCTTCACAGTACAGCACATGATTAAACGTATGTATAAGAATTCAAATATAAGAAAGCAGGAGCAGAACATCTGAACTGAGTGCTTCATGATTAATAGGTACAAAAATATCCATGTTCCACATACTTGATCTAGCATAGGAAAATCAAAGTCTACACATCTAACCAGAAAAAGCTCACCAAGTATTTGATCTGCAATTTAAAACAGCATCTGAGGCAACACTGCTACCAAACAGAAAGAATGTCATTGATCAATTTCAGGCAAGCAGCAATGAAAAAAAAAGATAGGCACTTACACTATCCATCACTTCTAGATTAAACATGTCTGCTTTAAGCACATATTCATTAACTCATTCGGCACTTGCTACTTTGTGATAATAACCAAAAACTGGATAAAAGGTTATATTAATACATCACTCGACTGTGTGGTACATACATTATATATTGGACAGCCTTGGAAACAAAATCTAAGTTTATACTGAAACAAACATGCACAATTGTATACCAAATTTATTAAAATTCTGCTTAAATTTAGCTAATAAATCCAGGGGGAAAATGAACAATTGAAGCTGGAATATTTCTTTCAATCTGAACATTTCAAAAGCATCTAAAGATATGAAACTTCATGCCACACAAAATAAATCCCTAAGATTAGACGAAGGTTAAGAATGAATCACCTTTACTAAGCATACATATTGAAAACACTCCCTAAAGATTATTTTACAGTCTACGTTTTTATAGCAGACTTAACTTGATCTTTAAAAGACTCAAGTGGACATACTTAATAATTCAATTAAGTAAGGCAAATTACTAATTGCAATGTCCTCTGCTAAACAGCAGTGAAGAATCAAACAGTCAAGCAGTATTTTTTTTAATGGAGATGAATTCAGACCCATTCATAGATCATTTATTTTTCATCCTTTAAAATTACCCATTAGAGAAAACAAGAATCAGTTATAGCCAATGAATTGTTGTTTTTTTCTTCACTGTTATATAGAAACCTAAGAAAAGCATATGCCTGCATTTTGGAATATGTGGGTATAATATTTAAGCTCTTTGCAAAAAATAAAAGCATAATTACTAACCAAAGAGGTAAACAATCTGAAATGTTCACAGTGCAGGGCACCCAGGAACTACTACATTATTTTCCATTCTTGAAGACCATATACATGATAGGGTCAAATTAAGAAATATAGTCATGTGCTATATAATATCCAGTAAAAGAGATAATTATTGCACATGTTACTATGTTAATTTGCAACCTGTATTAACGCTAGGTTAATTAAACCAAAATTAGTATTTTAGAGTCCCTGGGAAGCCATCAACAAAGTAGTAGTCAGACACTGGATTTTCTTAAGAAATTATTCTCTGCAAAACAGAAAACACCGTCTATATTCAAAAGCAAAGAATGTGTGCCCTATAAAAGTTACTTTAGCTAGGAAAATTAATCTCACATTGCTAGTATATCACTTAAGCACCTCATATTCAAAATACAGATAACTGTGCCAAAGTTCCTCTTATTAATGGCATCACACAAAGGAAGCAGCATAAAACAGTAACATTCCTGGAAATCAGAAGAATATTGGCACTAGCAGCCTGAAAATCCAATTTTCAATGATTGAGAAGTTAGTAAATTAGGCACTTTTATTACTACAGGATTCAACCTGCGTTAAATACTGACCAAAAGGTTATTTTCACAGATGAAGATTAAACAAAAGAATATGGCATCTTCATCACCAGTTTTTCAACTATCTTACTTTTAACAGATATGCAAATTCCATTAACTTCATGTTATGAATAAATGTGGATGCAGAAAGCAGGCATATAGCCATTAGGTTAGTCTGTAATTTAATTATTTACAAAATGATCAATAAAGAAAACTGAACTTACTTGGAAATTAGTCTGCACCTATTTTGCTGTTATGAAGGCTTACAATATGGTAGTTATATATAAATTTCACTGTATGATCCTTTAACAAGGGTAGTTATATGTTGCAAGAATTTTGCAAGCAAATGGGCTATGCTTAACTTTCAAGCCTATTCTAATTAAATTTCAGAAATCTAAGTGAATACTGTGAATCCAAACTGTCACAATACGGCTAGAGCACTGAGGAAACAAAATTCAGTAGAGGTTTTTATACAATCTGTATTTACATGCATTCCATCAGTGTATTTTGGGCTAGGCCTATAAGTTCAGGTTTTATTGATTGTTGCTATTCCTTTCTATGTTTACACTGATGTAGCACAAAGCATTTTTGAGCTACTACTCTGAAATCAAACTCAATTTTAAGTCAGACCAAAATACTGAAATAAAATGATAGAAACCTAACAAAAAGCCCTTGTTCTTGTTTGAAGGAAGGGATTAGCATAGGGTGATGGTGCCCTTCTGCCAACAATTCCATTACTGTGGAAACCCTTCTAGGTCAACTGGTGGTGTTCCTACAGGCAGTAAATGGCACAGTCTCAACATCTGGTGTTCCGGGGGGGGGGAAAGGACCAGCTTTTCAATGATGCTCCTTTTTCCTGATTCAGGCTATCTGTTCTGCCAATCTGATATTGGCAGGCATAGTTAATTCCCTCTTGTGCTACTTTTAGGAGGAGATTTTAAACTCTATAGCTCCATTAGACTAGAAAGCTTCCTCAGACCATCCATGAAACTTTTGCCAGAGGCAGTGTAACTAATAGGGCTTTGAGATTGGCTGGAGTATTTTTTCTTTAGTTTGGATTCCACAGAAGCAATAAGCTATGTAGTTTCATATAATGTTGTTGTTAGTTTTCTTTGTACTATTTCCAAAACTAATTTATTCTATCTGCTACAATTAACTCCCTAAACATACATTTTCATATTTTATTTTTCAAAATACCTATAATTCTGGTTAGAAACAATTTAGACATTTCACACATGGGGAACAGTAAAAGTTATATTAGACACATTCCAATATCACCACCATCTTCTCACTGGAGATGAAACAATGCAACTACTGAATAGAAAGTAAGATAAAATATCACACTAGTAATACAATTTAAATCATGCCTATATTTTTAAAAAGTTCCAATACAGTGCAATAATGAAGATGTGGAAAATAAATTGATTTGAATGATATAAGATCCCAGGCAGAACGATTCTCTCAGAACAAAAGGTTGTTTTTCAACATTCTGAATCATAAAACACCTAGCTTCTTGCTCAGTACAGAATATTGTTCTCTTCAGAAAATCTGTATGTTTTCAGCAGCTGTATCACAAAGTATCACAAATAAAACCATTATCATACATCAGAGCAATTTAAATGTGTAAAAGGTTAACACAGGCAAAGGTAAAATACTCCTCCAAAATCTAGACAGACAACAAATGAGTTAAAAATGCCCACTAATGCATAGCTAGGAACTACTAAATGATATACTGGAAAGTATTTTTGCAGGTAAAAGCTAGACTGCATTTAAAGTGCAACACTATATGGTGCTACTCCCATATTACAATGAGAACAAAACCTTCCAGTCCACCACTAGGTCCCTGCATTGCTTTAAAACCTGAGAAAATGTAAAAGTTGGATTTTAAAAACCCACTCAATTGCTCTGTGCCAGGACTCTAGTCAGCTTGTGCAAATAACCAAGCTTCAGAGGTCAAAATTTTTCATGATCGCATCATGGTCAAACTTGAAGCTCAGAAAAGCACGTGAGGAGAAAGAGAATTTGCAATGGCCATTGCATGACACCGATTGTCCACGTTCTAGTTGCTGGTCTTCAGTGAGATAGCACAAATCACACGCTGTTTCTACATTTAAAAAAATAAAGAATTTAGCAGTGAGTGACAAGAGTCAAAATAATCTCATACAACCCTTTAATAAAACTTCAAATATGTAGTACATATTTCTTAGACATTCGCTAATTTAAAAATTGGACAGGATGGGAACTAAAAATTCAATTATAGTTATATGGTTTTATAAGCTAAGAAAACTGAATTCAGTAGGGGCAGCAGATTGGAGAAAGCTACCTTAGGCAAAGCAGTTCTAAATGGCAATGGCCTTTGTTCCAAGATTGTGTCCTGTTCATCCTTTAAACCCCTATCTTTCAACTTAACATTTATTACTAATCTTCAGAATAAGCAGTGACTCCACCATGGGTTTGCGACATCTTTAGTAAGACTGTGATCACTAACATCTAAAGTATACACAACAGCCATTTTCTCATAACGGTAGCTTGCAGAATTTGTAAACTTGCTCTCAAATAAAGGAACATAAGCATCACTAAAGTAATGTTAAACTTTACAGCTTTTCTCAGAATTTACACTTTGAAAAGTTATAAATTCTTTTTTTAAAGAAATTATAATATCGAAATACAGTACTCTATTCAGAAACCACTTCAGTCTAATAAAACTGGGTACAGTGCTGCAATATACACTAAAAACAAACCATGCTCCCTCTTTCCATACTCTTTCCATACTCTTTTTAGCACTATCAAATCAAAACTATTTAAACTGTTATTTAATCTTCCTTTAGGAAATTACTATATAACTATAATGTTGATGAGGGCAGGGATTTAGTTTTCCCTGTTCAGTTGTAATAGGACACTAATTCAAGCAAAGATTTTGCTAGATTGGGCACTGTAAATTATAGAGCTCTAATCTCAGACATTTAAACTAAGGTTTATACAAAGTTATTTACTGATTAACAAATAAGTAATATGTACTGAAATATAAATGGTAAATATCTTTATTTTTACATTCTGCATTGTCTAAAGCAGGGGTGTCAAACTCAATTTCATTGAGGGCTGCATCAGGATTGTGTATGACCTTGAGGGGGGGTGTTGGCCAGGGGGCATGGTCAGGGTGGGTGTGGCCAACTCAACATCACTCATCAAGGTTCCATTTTGGCTGCAATGGCCTCCTGCAGCCTTTTGCCAGCAAAAATAGAGCTCAGGGAGGCTGCCCGGGCTCTGTTTTTGCTGGCAGAGGGCTGCAGGAAGCTATTGCGGCTAAAAACGGAGCCCAGGCAGGCATGGAGTTCCGGTTTCACTTGCAAAGGCACTGCGGGCCATTCCTTTGCTATTTCCAGGGCGAGCACCCCTTGGGTTGGATCCAGCCCCCAGGCCTTGAGTTTGACACCCTGGTCTAAAATAATATAATCAAACATACCTGTTTCAAAATTATCTTGAAGCTTTCTTGGATGCTTCTTTTCACATTTCTAGTTAAGAAGATCATCACATTAAACAATTTTTGGAAAACAAAATTTGTGACCCAACCAAAAAATATAAACATTTTCATTCCTAAACAGAGAATCATTTTAAAAAATGAAGCATTTGCTTAAATTTAACTGGATTATGCATTTTATTATCTGTATCTCCAAATTCTGTATATGATGCACCTTCTAAAGTAGTGCTTTTAAGCAGACAAAACTAAAAAGAAAAACAGAGACAGACTGGTCTGGTGGTTAAGGCACTAGGCTAGAAATCAGAAAACAGCCTTAGCCATGAAAGTCAGCTGGGTGACTTTGGGCCAGTCCCTCTCTCAATTAGTAATTACGGGGTGTGTTGTTGTTGTTTTGCTAAGCCGATTTTCTATGAGCTCCTAAATCATTCCATTTTTGTTTTTTTTATAAGAAAATGAATACTTATTTTTAAATAAGTTGTCCTTCTAATGGTACATTTTAAACACTCCATTCAAGCAAACACATATGCCAATCTGTATATTTTTGGAGCTAATAAATATATCACAAAATTCAGACAAGTGGAAAATCAGATTTACTCACTTGCCCGAAAAACAGCTTCTAACAGGTATTCTTCAAAATACAGTCTGAATTACACTGTCAAGTGTCTTTGCTCTTTTACTTCTCCCACAATCATAGTCTTAAAGACTTTAATTTGAAGTTCCACAAATTGCATTGTACTTGTCTCTCTTGTAGTTACTATAGAGAGTAGCCCTTCCTTTTTACTCTTCACTTCCTCTTTAATCTTCCCTTTGACTCAACCAAAACATGAACTTTATCAATTTCCATTAGCTCTTCCTATTTGATGGGGAGAAGGAGGAGGAAGAGTTCTTTTTCGGATGACAGAAAAGATATGGCAGACCTACCATAACCCAAGAACATTTAACCAAATATGCTACCAAAGAACAAAATTATCCAATAGCATTTCATGCTGCAGGACTCTTCCTAGCTAACTTAAAAATATATTACTAATAATCAATGCTCCTACACCACTATTTTATGCAGCAGCCTAACAAGACTGCACAAAAAAACTATTACAGAATGACTGCAAGATATTCTCAATGCATCTAACATTACGTGCATTGTATGCCTTGATATTAACAGAGCACATTTCCCATTTTTCCTATCAAGCCCAGATAAAAGGTGGGGTAGTTCTCAAGAATAGCAATATCCAAAAGCTACCTATTGAGATCAAAAACTTTGTTTGCCAACAGAGAGAGCTGAATACACAGGTTTATTTTATGTCACAAGCTATCTCAGCAATCAAAGCACTGATTTCCAGAGCCACTGCTGGGCACCCAGTAGATGTCACTAGCACACAGTGCTTAATGCAAAAATTATTCCAAATTCCAATTCAAAGTGCTTCCCCATTTGCATTTACCTTTGTGCATCTTACCAAAGTTTGGTTCTGTTTGGCTGGCTGATTCTGAACTCCATTTGTTCTCTTTTTTTGATTAGGAATATCTTGATACTGCTTTTTGCCATTGCCTCGTGCATTCTAAGCAAGTAATGCAGCAACAACAACAAATGAACCAAGGACAGCATTCAACTGAAAATGTTTAGTTTTAAAATGTATTTATGTTTATAACAAAATACATCTAATTTAGCAAAATATATTTATTTACTTTCATTGATTGATTTGATGCTGCACAACTCTAAATGAGCCTGAGCAGGTAACAACACAGCAAAACAATGTAACAGACATCAGAAAATAACAGAATCAAACTCAGACAAAAAAGCAAGATGACAAACCCAGTAAACCACCCAAAACTGACATCCAATAAAGGGGGCAGCAACCCCGCTACTCCAAGGGTTCTCAGTTGTTCACCAATTAATATGTTTAGTTTATTGTAAACAATATCTTGCTCCATTTAAAAGGTAAGGATCTGAGAAGTTCAAGAAGTTTAAAAAAGGTTTAAAACATAGAACACAATTCTTATCAAACCTGATCTAATAATAACAATTTTTAATAGAAACTCACCTTTAGTTTTAAAGCTTCAGGCATCTCCAAATGATTGTTATATGGCTTTTGTTGCTGTAATTGCCTCTGCCTTGTTGATTGGTCTCCCATGGGTGTATCTGTAAACACCTGCTGACTGTAATGGAGTTTGGATCTAATTCATTAAAAAAATTTTTTTTAGAAAAGTCCAGAACACAATTATAATTATACAATACAGCTGCATTTATAAGACTATTCTATCAAATAGTCATTTAACAGTGTATTAAATTTCTTTTCAGACCATTTTTGCTTTGTTCCAAAGGCACTGAAAAATGGAAAAACATCCAATATCCAGACACAGTAAGTATTCCAAGTGAGGCCTGAATAGACTAGAATGAGAAAATTACTTTCTATAATCTGGACTCTGTGCTTCTTGATATGTTTCAAAATATTTGCTTTCTTAGCAGCTATATCATATTGCTAGCTCATACTCAACTCATAATCTACTAAAATACATACATCCTTTTCACATGTACTAGTATCCCCCAGCCTATACTCATGCCTTTCGATTTTTCTTTCTAGATGCCTTTTTCCTTGTTAAATTTCACCGTTCTTTTTGGCTCACTGTACAACATATTCCTCATTTACCTACTGAATATTAAATATTAGAGCTGTGCAAAAATGAAAACATCTTGCTCCCATCTTTGTTAACTTTTTATTAATAATGAAAAACTGCATCACAATTTTTCTATCCCTACATTTAAGAATGGAACAGGAAAGATAATACTTTCTAATGTTGTTAGAGAAACTCTACAATTTCTCATCAGCATGGTAAATAACTATGTTAGACAAGGGAATCATTATTATCATGATCATCATCAGTATTTGGTAAACATGATCAATTATAGCAATCTGAAAATGCAATGTATCCAAAAGGCATCAGGATTGGGAAAGCAGATAAATTACATCAGGTAACTCATGTCTTAAACTATTATTATTCACTTCATTTTCAGAAATAAACCCCATTTGCCCTCCATTTGAAAGCAATTAGCAAGTTTTAACGATCAGTTACCTCTGTTTTTCTATATTGGATTTAGGTGGTGTGCTGCTACTGGCAGATGAGAACCCATTGTCACTATCTGAAGAGTCTCCATACCGCCGAGAAAGCCAGTCTCTTAAGGGTCTGTAAAGGGTTAATTAGAATAGCAATATTGATTTTTGAAGCATGATTTCAAAACCCCACCCTTAAAATCTTCAATACAGAAATGGAACATAATATTGAACGAACCTAATGAAGGGAATGGTCATAAAAAACTTGTTAGGTGCCAAACCTAGTTTCGACTTCGGTGTCATGTCATTTCTATGGCAAGGCAATTTATCAATTGAAAACCATTCAATGTTCTGAAACACAGAAAAGAGATTACTTAACATTTTACAGATACAATATAAATAATCACTCCTATTAACCTTCTAATCAAGAAATAAAGCATATCTTTAGGAAGCTTTTCTATCACAAAACATAATTTCAATTCTTTATACTGAAATGTGCAAATATGGTAAATACAGGTAGTCCTCAGTTAACAACTGGTAACTGGGATTGGCAACTCCATTATGAAGCAACACGGTTATAAAATGAAAAATCATATGGCCACCCCAACTTATAATGGAACTTCTATCAGTTCCAGTTCCAGCTGTTAAGCAAATTATGCATGACATAATACGACTTCAACTGGTGACTTACTGGCAGCTTTCCCATTGACTTTGATTATCCGAAACCAGCAGTTAGACTGCAAATGGCAATCATGTGACCAAGGGACACTGACTGTCATAATTGTGCAACAGTTGCCAAGCACCTGAATCGCGATCACATGACCACGGGACACTGTGACAACTGCAGCTTTCAGCACTATTATAACTTTGAGTGGTCACTGAACAAGGGCTACCTGTAATATAAACAAAAGGCTACTACAAAATGATTTCACCAACATTTAGAATTCTTCTTGTCTCTTCCTCAAGTTCTCTTACCTACTGTTTGCAAATAATGTGCCACTACAACATTTATCTCTAGTAAGTATGGCTTTATTAAAATAAATGAATAATCCCTCGAGATTGGACTGCTGAAATGCATTCTACATGAATTTGCCCTAGAAGAATATCCAGAGGCCTCAGCTGAATGCAGAATGCAGTGGCACGGGCATATGCACCCCTCAGAACAACATATTTTACATTTCTGCTCCGCAAGCTGCAGTGGTTGCCAATTTGCTTCCAGGTCCAATTCAAGGTACTGGTTTTAACCTTTAAAGTCCTTCATGCATGGGACTGGGCTATCTGAGTGACCACCTCTCTCCGCTTGAGCACATCAGCCCACTTCATTAAATCGGGCAGAGAAGGCATGCTGCAGGTGCAATCAGTTAGGGACTTACATTGGATGGGTCCCAGGAGAAGTGCCTTCTCTGCCATGGTGCCCTCCCCCCTTAGGGAATGTGCTTTCCTCCAAAATTAAATTAGCTCCATCCGTTTGACACTTTGGAAGTCCCTCAAGGCCTGGTAATGTTATCAGGCCTGGGGCTCCCAGGGAACCAGAAAAATTATTTGATGGCTCCTTTGTTGAGGTGGCCATTCCTATCCTTTCTCTGCCCAAGGTTTGCATACTAATTTTTATAATGTAAAAATATAAAATTTCATGTTAAAATATAAGTATCTGTTGTTTTACTCAACTGTTGTATACCACTCAGAATCGCTTTTGGTGAGATGGATAGCTATACAAATTTGTTTAATACATAAATATTGTACCAGGTAAGCAAATTTATTTCAGTGAACCTTGGAACTGGATGAGATGAAAGTGCCACTTCAGAAGTAGAAATCATTGCCAACATGTTCATTGAGGACCATCTGAATATACTTTAGGAAGCTCCGTGAATATAAAATACTGGTAGTGGTATCCTTTGTTGATGATAGAGGCAGTTCAGTTATATCAGGAATAGATCAAAGATATGATTCTTTGGTCTACTAGCACATTCCCAAATCAGCACATTTCATTATTCGAGTTTACAGTTAGCAGATTTCAGTTCTCTCCCAAAGGTAATATGACAAAAATAAAAGAAAATAACAAGGACAAAGATTAAAAACAAGGTTAATCTTTCCTATCCCCTGCTCTAGTTACTTGAAGGCAGCAGGGCTCTGAAAACAGTTTACCTTGCATTTCTCTGTCCAAGAAAATAATAATTTTAAATAAGGAAAGTATCAGACCTGGATTGTAAAAACTCTAACTTCTCTTTGCTCCCACATAATGATCATCCAGATTTCTACAATTTGGGCCCACCTAATGTAAATATCATAAAGGTTTATATCAAAATGCATGATATTCCTCAATAAGCTTACAATATCATTAATTGCTTAGTATCTGAGCATTCAATTTGAGTTGAAAGATAGATTTACCCGAATCTCTCTTCTTGTTTTAGGATTAAATTTTGTGTCCTTTGGAATTCCCGGGATGATATACAATCGTGCTAGCTGATCATTGATTCTTAATTCAATATAGTCATCTTTATTAATAAAATCTTTTATATCAAAACCGGTTTCTTCAAATACCTGAAAAAGGATAAAATTAGAAAAAAAATTATATTTTATAAAGTTGAAAAAATAAGAAATCTGATTCAGACTTTTGCTATAAAAATCTGGCTTGATTATGATGTTGTCTGACTAAAATTATAATTCTTTACTACAGCTTTAAGAAAGCAAAAAAGATATGATTAGAACTACCAACTGTCATTTCCAGTGATGGCTTCTGGAGAAAGGAAATGCGATTGCCTCTGATTAGACACCACTTTTCGCTTGCTCTTATTACTTGACTCTACATGGACATAATAACATAGTATCTCCCAGGAAATTTTGATCAACTAGTAATAAACAAATACCATAAAATACTTGGTAAGTTTGGAAATTATTTTATCCCTTTGTCATCACTTGCATTAATGAAACCTGGAACACGGATAAATCACATCTCAAATAAAGGCACTAGGATCTATTTAATGTAGAAAAGTGTGTAAGTATCTTGCATGTAGAATATACAATATGCATGTTCTATTCCTGAGAAAATATACAGTATTTATGTAGTTACTAAGGAGTCAATACCAATCTGATATTATATATGTATTCTAAAAATCTTTTCAATTTAAAATGCTTGGATATTAGCAGGATGAATTGCCAAGATTGAGACTGGGTGGTAACTTAGCCCCAAGGCTGAAGTTTTGCTAGTTGGTCAATTGCATTAACAAGAGCCACACCGACAGCAAGAATATCCTCAGATTAAGACATGCAGAAGCAGACATGCTTGCCTTCCAATGAAGATTTATAAAGGGCAGAGCTGCTAAAAAAAAGAAATTGTTGGTTGATTGGTTGGTGTGGTTGTGCTGGACTGTGTGTATCAAGAAGCAAGAACTGAAGCTGCTGGAGGAAAGGCACAGTGTTGGAGAAAGGAAGAAGGAGGATTGTACAGTTGAGGGCCTGCAGAATCAGTGAGATCCGTAAAGCTGATTGGCTGGCAAAAAGGACTGAAGTATTGGAAAGGACCGACCAAGAATCAGTGCAGATAATGTTGACTAAGGTGCTGCTTTCCAAAAGGCCCAAAAGTTATTTTCCCCTCTTTATACCTCCTATATCAGGGGGGTCAAACTCGATTTCATTGAGGGCCACATCAGGGTTGTGTTTGACCTTGGAGGGCCAGGAAAGCGCCCCGTCCCTCTTCACACGGCACCCCTGGGGACTGAGACTTAAGAAAACGCTGTGGGGAGAGGCATTTGTCAGGAACAAATGCTGAATTCATGGAGTGTTGAGTTTGAACTTTTCTGGATTCCTTGCATTGTTTCTGGATTTCTGGCCTTGCTCCTTTGCTTCCTGGACATCTCAACTTGCCCTGCTGGATTTCTTGCTTTGCAGCCATGGTGCTCACAGCGTTGGGCTGGACTATTTGCAGCCAGAGGCTGCTTGAGGGGTGTGTGTGTGTGTGTTTGTGTGTGTGTGATCACTTTGGTCTGGGACCTGCCAGAAATGTGGAAGCATTTGGGGAAATTTGGAGTAATAAAGGGGCGGTTTGAACTGCCAGCTGCCTGTGTTACCTCTGTGCCATGCCCCGGGTCATCACATGTATGCTGTTATTATTTATAAAGTTTCAATTTGAAAAATAACAATGCATGTTTTTCTGGATAAAAGTTTTTATCCCTTTCCCATCCTCTGACAGGAATATGTCAAACAATGTAATAAACAGAATCACCTCTCTGGCAGCACAGTCATGTGGAGCTTCCTCTTTATTCACTTTTCCTTTTGGAAAACCCCAGCCAGATTTTGCTAAATAACCCTGAACTAGTAGCACCTGCAAAACATAAATATTCAATCAAGATTATAAAATCAACTCATGGTAAATAGACAAACAGCTTAAAATACAGAAGAGTTTGATCCTAAAGCCTGAATTAAAGTAAAAAAAAAAATGAAACAAAACCAATAACATACACTCTTCTATAACAGTAGGGAAATACACTGCTCAAAAAAATAAAGGGAACACTTAAACAACACAATGTAACTCCAAGTCAATCACACTTCTGTGAAATCAAACTGTCCACTTAGGTAGCAACACTGATTGACAATCAATTTCACATGCTGTTGTGCAAATGGAATAGACAACAGGTGGAAAGCATAGGCAGTTAGCAAGACATCCCCAATAAAGGAGTGGTTCTGCAGGTGGTGACCACAGACCACTTCTCAGTTCCTATGCTTTCTGGCTAATGGTTTGGTCACTTTTGAATGCTGGCAGTGCTTTCACTCTAGTGGTACCATGAGACGGAGTCTACAACCCACACAAGTGGCTCAGGTAGTGCAGCTCATCCAGGATGGCACATCAATGCGAGCTGTGGCAAGAAGGTTTGCTGTGTCTGTCAGCATAGTGTCCAGAGCATGGAGGTGCTACCAGGAGACAGGCCAGTACATCAGGAAATGTGGAGGAGGCCGTAGGAGGGCAACAACCCAGCAACAGGACCGCTACCTCCGCCTTTGTGCACAGAGCGATAGGAAGAGCACTGCCAGAGTCCTGAAAAATGACCTCCAGCGGGCCACAAATGTGCATGTGGCTGCTCAAATGGTCAGAAACAGACTCCATGAGGGTGGTATGAGGGCCCGACGTCCACAGGTAGGGGTTGTGCTTACAGCCCAACACCGTGCAAGACATTTGGCATTTGCCAGAGAACACCACAATTGGCAAATTTGCCACTGGTGCCCTGTGCTCTTCACAGATGAAAGCAAGTTCACATTGAGCACATGTGACCGACGTGACAAGGTCTGGAGACACTGTGGAGAACGTTCTGCTGCCTGCAACATCCTCCAGCATGACCGGTTTGGCAGTGGCTCAGTAATGGTATGGGGTGGCATTTCTTTAGGGGGCCGCACAGCCTTCCATGTGCTCGCCAGAGGTAGCCTGACTGCCATTAGGTACCGAGATGAGATCCTCAGACCCCTTGTGAGACCATATGCTGGTGCGGTTGGCCCTGGGTTCCTCCTAATGCAAGACAATGCTAGACCTCATGTGGCTGGAGTGTGTCAGCAGTTCCTGCAAGACAAAGGCATTGATGCTATGGACTGGCCCGCCCGTTCCCAGACCTGAATCCAATTGAGCACATCTGGGACATCATGTCTCGCTCCATCCACCAACGCCACGTTGCACCACAGACCATCCAGGAGTTGAGGGATGCTTTAGTCCAGGGGTGGGAGGAGATCCCTCAAAAGACTATCCGCCACCTCATCAGGAGCATGCCCAGGCGTTGTAGGGAGGTCATACAGGCACGTGGAGGCCACACACACTACTGAGCCTCATTTTGACTTGTTTTAAGGACATTACATCAAAGTTGGATCAGCATGTAGTGTTTTTTTCCACTTTAATTTTGAGTGTAACTCCAAATCCAGACCTCCATGGGTTGCTAAATTTGATTTCCATTGATAACTTTTGTGTGATTTTGTTGTCAGCACATTCAACTATGTAATGAACAAAGTATTTAATCAGAATATTTCATTCATTCAGATCTAGGATGTCTTATTTTTGTGTTCCCTTTATTTTTTTGAGCAGTGTGTACCTGGAAGATCTGCTTTTAAAATTGCCTTTAAGAGTCAACAGTTAAATTACTGTCAATTCTACTCAACAAAGCTAAAAAGAAAATGCCTTACATTTTCAAGGGTCTCATCAAGAATGATTGCACCATAAGTTGGCACTCCCATTTTGTACTCTTTCCATTCGTCTAAAACCTTCTGAACATCTTCGCCTTGAGGAAGCAAAAAAGGACAATGGCTGAAAAGTACAGGGAGTCAAGGAAATTAATTGACCAAAACACACCTCAAAACTTCAAACCACATTTCTACTGCTTTTTTCTTCCTATCAGCATGCTGCCTTTAGTAAAAAATAGTTCTTTTGCTAAGTCATTTACTGGATAGGATTCAGTGTCTATAATTAAAAACAATTTGGGAAATCCATCTGACTGTGGAGTCACTTGTCCTAGTCATCTGTACAAGTTACAATTTCCCTTAACTCTTATTTCCTTATTATTGCCCATGACCCAAATACCTCCAGGTGTATGCACAGAAGTTGTTAGGAATATAAGTCACCTAACAGGTATTTGGGTTAGAAATATATAAACCAGGATAAACATTTTAAAACTTTATCTTTTAAGAAAATGCAAAACTGTAATTAGGTGTGGTTTCTCAAACGGCCATAAGATGGAGCCAGAAACCTGGTTTGTCTTAGCCTTAGTCTCAGAAGAGAGTGTGAGTGTATCACTGTTTCCTTCTGTTGGAAAGTATTGCCGTTTCTCCATTTCTTTTAATTGACTGATATTACTGGATTTAATGTAAGTCTGATACTGAACTGTTTTTGACACTGGAATTTGATATTGAATTATCCCTGGATTGAAAAAAATGTCTGATTTACCTGTGAATGACTTTGGACTGCCTATTTTGGACTTTGCTTAATGTTTTTGGAATTAAAAACCTACATTTACTGTACAGTGTATCTGTGTGCTGTGTGTATTATTCAAACACTACTCTCAAATACGTCTCCCTGTTTGCGCTCATTCTCCTAACGGGGAATTACCTCAACAGAAGCCCCTTGCATTTATCAACCCTTTTATTTAGTTTACTGAGTTTCATGCAAAAGTAATTTATGTTCTTTGTTTTCTTAAAAAAAAAGAACTATGTGTTCTTTTTGTTCTCAACAAGCTCTTCAAAATTTCAACAAAGACAATAATGACCAGATTCTACCACCAAGTGGGGACACTTTTTTTTAAACAGCCTTTCTGATACCAGCCATTTTACAATAATTTCAACTGCAGTTTCTCTCATTCTGATATGTATTCCACAGGGGTTTAAATGTTGGGAAACTCTGCTCTAAGTAACCATAAGAACATTAAAAATCTCAAGACATTCCTTAACAATGTTTAAAACCACTGAGACTAAGCTGTAAACAAAAGCCAGCTATGTAATATGATCAAGTTTATAATATGAAAAAGCTGGCAGTAAACAATTTTAGAGTGGGATACTAAGTGAAACATCATGTGACTCTGACGGGTTTTCAATGTCATTTCCCATTCTGTGATTAAGCAAGGCACTGCAGGTCATGAAACGAAGGATCTCATGACTATGAGCTGCAATTTTATTGCTGGCTTCTCCAATCGTGAAATGCCTGAAAGTCAATCATGTAACCCTGGGGACACTGGGATGGTCATAAATGTGAGGACTGACCATAATTTTACTTGTTCAGTGCTATCATTATTTTGAATGGCCACTAAACAGGTCAATTATTAAGTGAGATCTACCTTAGTCGTCAATAGTTACCAAAGGATACTTTAATAATGCTTTTAGATGAAGCTGAATAAATCAATTCAATTTTAAGAAAAAAAATGGTTCTGCTACCTCCTTTGTTGACCCATGAGAGCAGAAAATGATAAAAAAGTATAATCTCCCTATTTAAAAAATCCTATTCCTTTTTTAACAAATATGTTGCAGAACTTAATAAACTTATGGTATTGAAATAGTTCTTTGATATTTTTCTAGTTAGTTATAATATCTTCACAAAAACACTGGGTTTTCAAATCCAGACTAAATAGGATATCCTGCTACGATTATTTTCATAAAATGCAAATATATTTTATAGCTGGTTATTTGAATAAATGTATAAAATAGGTAATAAACCTAATAAACCTGGGGAAATGCCTTCCTGAATAAAGCACTCCCACATTAAGCATTTTAATCTGGAGTGTATTCCTAAACCAGAGTTCCCCAACCTTTGCAGTTTTGTGGATTGGTGGGAGGAGGGGATGGTTTGCATGCACAATAGGCAAATGCCCACACATGCAGCTCCATCTGCAGAAGCAGCAGGCACATGCACACAAGGCTGCTGGAGCGCGCGCACACACACACACAGTGCTCATGGGAATGGGCATGTATGCATACACTCACACACTCGCCAATTCCGTGGCCCTGTTTTGAAAGGCTCAAGGCCTGGTAGTGGGCTACAGTTCGGAGGTTGGGTACTACCCCTGTCTTAGACTCTCAAGTGCTAAATGCATGGTTAATTAATCAGGTGAAATCAGCATAAGAGATCAGGTCACAGAAAAAAAGTTTGATGGAATTGTGATATCCTAAAACAGGGACCCCAACTCCTGGGCCATGGCCCACTACCAGGCCTTGAGCCTTTTCGAATAGGGCTGCAGAAATGGTGGGCAAACACGGACACACATCGTCACTCAAGTTCCTCAACCTTTGCAGCTTTATGGGACGGCAAAGGGGGGAGCGGGGATCAAATGGAGTTGCAGATGCACACGTTTGCCCATCACACATGCAGAATCACCCCCTCTTCTCCCCCCCCACTAGTTCACGAAGTCAAAAAAGTTGAGGAATTCTGTCCTAAAATATATGTATTGACTCCAAATTAATATGCAGTTTCTGAATTTTCAAGTTATAAGACTTCATTCCAAGGAATTCAGGAACGTTTTCTTTCTTCCAGCAAGATAACACTGTGCTACATAAAGCATTAATTTAACACTTAGCAGGATAACAGGTTTTCAGTAGCCTTGGGATACATACTCTTCTCCTTTCTTTTCAAAAGCATTAAATTTCATGCCAAAACTTTAGCGTGTTGATTGTATTGACACTGGTTTACTTGTTACAATTTATACTATCTAGATGTTACATATCTGTAAATACCTTTAATGTTATTTTATATTTTCAAATTATTACTTCAAATAATTATTATACAACTTAAAAAATAAATCTGTCTGAAAACTGGACTGCAACAATACGAAGTCCAATTCTGTGGTCAGGGAAGTTAGAAACATGACTTACGTAATTTTAAAATGCAACGAAATCAAAAACACCTGTCTAATTAGCACTCTCTAATTCAAATATATCAAAGACATTGAGCATTATTTACAACTACATTTAATCCAGAGCATCAACATACACATGATGCTCCCACAAAGTAAATTTCCAGATTCAATTCAGTGGAGAGGCAATCTATCTTCTTTAACAATAGTTAAGTTCAATATATTGTGGTTGTTTATTTTGATATATAAACTCAGCTTTTTGAAATGTTTATGGCAGGAGTGAGCAATTACTTTTAGCCTGGAGGTCACACTTTGTTTACGTCCTGCCCTATACCTGAAGGGAACTGCTGCTATTATCATTACTATATATATATATACACAAAAAAGTGAAATCACAGTTTTTTAGCTGGTGCTGGCTTTCATAGCGTTCTGCCCAAGAACCCAGGATGCTTAATGTATTAGGTTAGTATACATGCAGATCCAAGCAGTATAGCCTTTTTTAATTCACAGATGTAAAATCTGTCAATCGCAGATTTTCTAAGTGTTGTCCAAGGCTTTTTGGTATGTCATCCAATGTGCCAATTATTGCCAGGTTATAGCATAATCTTTCAATTTTCAGAACTTGGTACTTTGTGATCTTCCCAACTCTGTCTTCTATTCTACTATCCCCTGGTATTGCCATAGCAATTATTCAGTTTTATTTCAATCATAGCTAAATCTGGTGTGATACACATCAAGAATTAATCTATTCGCATTTGGAAATCCCACAATATTTTAATCTGCTCATTTTCAACTACTTTTTCAACCATATACTCTCAGCAATTTTTCATAGTACATATTTTTTATTGATGTTCCAGTGAATTAATTTGATGACTGCGTTGTCACTGTTTATAGTCACTTTGTGCAACCTTCTTGCAGAAGCTAAGTATCTGATCTACTGTTTTTCTACTTCTTTGCACAATCTGCACTTTGAATCATTTGATTTTTTTAATTCTGATCTTGATTGCATTAACTCAAATAGCTTGCTTTTGAGCAGCCAAAATCAAGCCTTCAGTTTCTTTTTAAATGTTCCATTTGTAAGATGTCTGTTTTTATCTTTATCCATTTTCCCCATGATCTTTTGTAGAAATTGGCCATGAAATACTTTTCTTTATCAGCATTCATCTCATGTTTTTATGAAATAATTTTGATGTTTTGTTTTCTGTACATTAAATTCCAATTTTTAATTTGCATCAGTGCTTGTTTTTAGCTATCTTTTACATAATCAGCTAATGCATGTTTTTCTTCCTTGACTGTTTCTTTGTCCTGATGTAATCCCCTGCTTCTATTTCTGTGGTGCAAGTATAATTTATCATTGTTGCTGTTGTTATTGTTATTATTATTGTTAAATTTATAAGCCACGTGATTCCCAGCTACTCTGGGTGGTTTGCATATATTTCCAATGCAACCTTTTTCCTATCTATATTTTAATATCATCTGTATGTTAAACAAAATCACATAGAAAGGATATCAGCTTTAGCAAAATCTCTTATCCCACACTGAGGTAATCCTGGTGTGTTCTGCATGTAGAAATCCAGGTAAAACCAATGGGCAAGCTCAATCTGAAAACAGACTCGAATTGCATTGTCTCGTTCTTCACTTGGAATGTGCAAAATAAATCGACTGTCAAAAGTAAAAAATAAATTTAAGAAATAAGTATATTGTTATTTCTGTGGTTAAAATACAACATAAATAAATTCAATACTTCTATAAAACAAGTCCAAGCTGCAAAAAGATTTAAAATTGGGACAGGCAAGTTAGAGGCATATGGAGACTATACTAATTCTGGACAAATAGCAATGACTGAGTCTAAGATCTATGGTGAGACATTCCAAGCTTCAGTATAAGAATTAATACACCACCAAACCAAGGCTAGTGAAATTTGAAGATTCAATTTTTTAAGGGGAACAGTGCACAACTTGCAGCTCCACAACCATGAAGTTTTTTGGTATACCCTTTGAGACCCTTCAATCCAGGGTCTCAGGGTGACATAGGAGGAAAATAAAATAATTGTTATTAGATTTCCTCACCCACTTCCACACACCTCTATATAGTCAACTCAAATCAGCAAACATATCCAATACTGCTGCCTCCTATTTGTCCCACAAAAACCCTGCGAGATGGGTTGAGCCAAGAGAGTGTGACTGGTTCAAAGACACCTAGCTGGCATTCATTCATTCATTTTATATGGCCATCTAACTCACTCACTGTGACTCCAGTGGCTTACAAAAATAAAACATCCACTATAAAACCCAACAAACCCCTGGCAACATCAATCAAACTAGCTAGCTGATGCACTCCATATCACCTTGGGCACAGGCCACTAGCAAACTTCATGGCTTCAGGGCCTTTCAAAACGCCATTCACGTCTAAGGGAAGCCTAGAGTTTACAGTTTTCTGGTTTCTACACTGACTCCTTATTTTAATATGTAATTTAAAGTTACACTGCTTCAGAATTTTTCTTTGTCTTGCCCCACCTACCGTACTTACTGGGATGTGGCCGGTACAAATGTTCTCTATAGGACAAATAATATATCTCTTCTATAAGGATAAATTGTAACATTTTGAATAATTTACTGTAACAACAGGCTATCTTTGAGCTTAATACTGAAAATGTTATGTAATATTTATGAAATTATTACTGTAACTACATGATGAATATGAATGTAATTCTTAAACTATTAGAACAAATTATCAAATTAATATTTTGCATTTTTCATCCAACTGGGAAAAATTTCAAGAGTTTAATAATAAATCAAATCTTGGAAATCTGTAGTCTGCACAATATTGCTTATAAACTATAAACTAAATAGTTTTTAAAAAAGTTATTACCAGTCAGGAACCATTTTCATTGTAACCAACAGTTAACTAGACATTCAATAGCAATTATGTCAAATGGAAGCATTTATGTATTCCATTTATAGGTCACTAAATCTTACTAGGGCCTCCCAGCATTTTTTAAAAATCTTGAAACAGTTCTAAATGAGCTGTCACCTTTTTCGATTACAGTTTCATTAACTAAATGTCTTTTCTACAATTACATTTTTACAAGCAATTATTTCATGGATCCTTAATTTATTTTTAGATTATGTATCCGAGTAAGACTAGCCCAAGAGGCATCTCAACTTTTCTCTACCAAGAGAAAAGGCAATTCATGGCTACCAGCTAAGTATACTAATTTTAATAAATTCACAATCCAATCCATCAGACTTCTTTAGTAATGTTTAACTTTGTCAAAAGTTATTTTACATTTTCCATCCCTGACTTTTAAAGTAACATCCTGCCCAACAAAAGCAATACAGAATAACATTCTCCTTGCTCTTTCTCCAGGTTTTATTGCAAGTTCGGCTTTTTAAAATATAGCTCAGTTTAATTAAATAACTTAAGTATCTAAACCCTGGTAGATGTTAACACACACACTGTATATAAACATGACTATCCAGAAACCTAATTGCTAACTAAACTTTGTATTCATATAATTACAACCAGCCAAGAATTTATCCTGGCCCTACTTAAATCTAATCAATATTTTTATAATCAGTTAAGTCAGAATTGAGCCAAAATATCTGATCTAGCATCAGGCTTTTCATTCTTTTATCTTTCATTTAAAGATACATAAGGTTAATGGGTACTTCACCTCTATTGGTTCTCTTCCACAATAAATGTTAATGCTTTTGATCAGTTTCTTAATTAAGGCTGGTATAAAATGTTCCCCGTTTTTTTTAATGTAACTTTTTAAAAAAGTTATGCGTGAGAAAAAAATTATCGATTTTTAAAAAATAATTTCAGAATTATTGGAAGTTATCAGAAATCTGAACAATTCAACAGAACTGCAAAAATGTTTCAAAGGGGGGATGAAATTAACTCGTTTTATAGAATAGATCCGTGGATCTTATTGGAGCTTCAGACCGCAGAAAGCCACAAACTCTGGCTTAACGGACTGCAGTCATTGTTTGCAGGTAAACCATGGTTTGGCTTAACCTTGTGTGGAAATCCAGCCAAGTGCAGTTTGTTTAATAATTCACGAATTACGGCTCAGCATGATGGATGGATCTCATCCATCACCCCTCTCCGTCCAAGCACTTTTAATTTAAAATTATTTCACCGCAACCGAGGCAACTGTGCAGGTCCCTCGGACCGCTTGCTACCACACTGAGGAGGAGGAGGAGGAGGGGGTGGCAGGCATTTTGGAGGGAGAAGGAGGAGGACCGCAGGGGCCACTCCCGCTGTGTTTTCTGGGCGGAAGCGTTACCTGCACAGGTCGTCCAAGACGCTGCCGGGAATCTCAGGGCGTTTGGTCTCCATGGAGAAAGAGCGCAGCTCATCCCGGCGCAACGAGGCCCGAAGAGCGCACGACGCAGGCCTAAGGGGCAAAACCAAACGGGGCGAAGAGAGCCAAGGCGGGACCTCGCCAATTCCATCCCATAGGAAAGAAGGGGGCTTCGGGAGAACCAATCGGATCCCTCGACGTTCGAAGAGGCGGGTTGAGAAGAGATCGTAGCCAATCATCGTGACGTAACCAAGATGAGAGCTCTCTACTATTAACGAGCGATCCAGGAGGGCGGGCGGTTCACTGCCGCCAGCGGCGGGGCCGGGAAGGAGGACGGGGTGTTTGGGGGGGTCGATCCCGCGTCTTTAAAAAAAAAAGAAAAAAGATTACGGATTACAACCTCTTGCAGTTTTTACCGCAGAGTTCTTCCCCGTGGACTGGCCACTGGCTTTGCACATGCTTTGCATCGTAGCGTAGTCCCCGAGGCTGAAGCAAAGCCACAAAGAGTCCTAGTTGGCCGGTTAATTTTCCAATACTGCAGCTTGTAACTTAAAGCTGGATTCATGAGGTCCCGGCTCTGTTCCTTTTTTCTCAGAGTGATCCTGCTTATTCGTTTTAGTGATTGTGGCCATGCTTAACTTAATGGTGTTTGCTGAATCCAGTTTTGTGGATTCAGAAAACCACCCACTTAAGTGGATAGTTTGCTACAGCGCGTCTAATTTCTAGTTTGGTGACTCTTCTGAAACAACTCAATGAGGATCCCAAAGGTGCTTTTTTTCCCCCTTCAGTCAGAACTGAAGAAGCTTCTTGGATAAGAAGTGAAACATCTTCAAAGAAAAACCAGAAAGTCCAATTGCCTCTTGGAGGGAAAAAGGTATTTTTGGGGCAATCATGACCTGGATGACATTTACCCAATGGGCATATCTGATCCAGGTGCTGGCCCATTCTAGGATGCTGAATTGCTGTATTAGTGTCCCTAGCTCTTTTTAATAGACTATATATATATTAGGCAATAAAAAATACATCAACTGGGATTTCAGTTTTTCTTTTTTTTTGCAACTCCACAAAGGAGTTTTTACCTTTGAACTACTTTAAAAGTGGGTATTATAACAATATCATTCTGGCCATCTAAAGAAACTTGTCACTAATTGGATGAGTAATCATATGGGATTTTCAGAGAAGGGCTGTGTAAATGTATCTCTGAGTTCCGTTATGTTCAGTGGAAACAAGATAGGTGCCAATAGATTTGCAATCTAAAATTGAAATTCTAGGGGGAAAAAAATGAAATTCTACTGGAAAATATGCCCTCCTGAACATAATGGGTGACTCATACTAATATACTTATTTCAACCATGGCTTGTTCATCCCTGTTTTTAGAACTTTAGAATATTAAAGAAACAATATATCTTTGGGATAGATGTTACAATGTTAATAATACAGTGGTGCTAGATAAAGTTTTTCCCCTATCTGATTACAATATAGTATTACATAGTATTTTAAATGTATGTTAAACAGTGACTAAATTCTATAGATTATAGATTAAATTTTTAACTCTAATCCCCTTGGTATTGTTATTTGTTAAATTTTGCTATTTTTCAGGATTATGGGAGGGTTTTTTTTCTCTCCCCCCCTCTTTTAATGATTTAATTCTTTTTTTTTTTGACTGATAAGACTGTTACTATTTCTGTTTTGATATTCTGTTTGTTGTACTAAAATGATTAAAATAGAAAAATGATGTATATAATAGGCATATAATGAATCAATAAAAAGAGCAAATCTTAAAGAACTAACCGCTGAACTGTTGCCATCTGTCATGTCTTTGGTATTTATTTGTCAGGAACTGTGGCCATGTATGTGTATACCATCTGCTCATAATTGCTTTTGTTTCTTCACAACATTTAAACATCTGTTCAACAATTCTTAAACTGCAATCAACACTGAGTTCTCTGTGTCTGAGAAAGATACTGTCTAATTTGAAGTTTTACTTGTGCATAATCCAGTTCAAAAATGGGAAGCCAAGCAAGACAATTTTGTGTCAGCCAGTCTCTGATAATGTAAAGGGGTTCATGCATATATTATAGATATCAGGAGAGGGGTTGTCTAAATATAATTGTGCCATGAAGACTTCCCTGAAATCTTTAAAACTGGGATTCTAGAATCTATACGGCTTTTGCTGAGATGGACTTATGAAACGGACTGATTCTGTTCAAATCTTTTGTAGTACTTTATAAATGTACAAGAAGAGAGTGCAAAAATTGGCTTGAAATTCAACATTAAAAAAAATTAAGATCATGGCATCCAGTCCCATCATTTCCTGGCAAATAGAAGGGGAAGAAATGGAAGCAATATCAGATATTATTTTCTTGAGCTCCTAGATCAAATCAGATGGTGTCTGCAGCCAAGAAATTAAAAGATGCTTGCTCCTTGGGAGGAAAGCTATGGCAAAATCTAGACAGCATATTAAAAAGCAAAGACATCACCTTACTGACAAAAGTCTGTATAGTCAAGGTTATAGAGGATGGGTAGATGGCATTATTGATGCAATGAACATGAATCTTGGGGACAATGGGGGATGGGAGAGCCTGACATACTATTATCCATGGGGTCGCAAGTAGTTGGGCACAACTTAACAATTGACCAACACTACTTGTGAATATACCTGTTTCACAGACATTCACAATACCGCAGGCTACCAGCCTGACAAAGAGTATGCATCCTAACATTAGTAATTCTGGTATATGACAAAGTATGGAATGTGGATAAAAAGAGAGGGAGACCCAAAGGTAGACCCAAGAGATCCTGCTAGAAATTGACGAGGCCTATAGAATTCAAATGAGCTACGCTCGACATAACAGGTTACCTAGGGAAGTCCACATGCAATTTGCCAGGAAACAAGTACATGACATAATATACAAGATAACACAAGATGAAACATTGGTCTATAAAGATGCAAACTCTGAAGCAGGTTCCCAAGAAGGTGAGCGAACAGAGAAAAGACTATAAGTTTTTGGCAACAGAACTCATCCAGAAGAACGTAATGTTTCGATGGTTAATTCCAGAAGGCTTGTTGGTAACATGGCAGGAAAAGAGGATCAGGATAGATAACTTAGACAAGGTGCAAGATTTCTATGAGCAGATTGGAGGAACAGAAGAAGAAAGCAGTGGTAGAGAGGAGCTAGAGACAGAAAGGGCAGAGGCCGGCTGAGCAGTCAGAGGAGGATCCAGGCCCATCCCCTATCCACCCTAAGTCACGCAGGGAGAAGAGGATCAGGGAAAAGCAAGGTCTACTCAAGAGGAGATTACCATGATCCTCCTTGTGGCTTGCAGCTGGGAGCTATGTGTATAAGTTTGCAACTGCGCAGTTAGAATTGCTGAAGTCAATTAGTATTCACCTTGAAAGAGGCTTATCTTTGCTGGCATTCTTCCCATGGACTTTTCTCGGTTATTTTCCTGGAGTTTATAATTAGGCTTGCTTCAAAACTGTCATCAATGTGGTTTGTTCTGGTTTTGTTTGCCTCATTATTTACTTTTGTGACTTTAAACTGTGCCTAATAAAACAGTGAAGTTAAGTTGAAGGCTTTACCGGACTTTAATATATGTTTTGGGTTTTGGGTTATTTTGAGAGACTACGGGTCATCACATTTTGACTTCAGCCATCCCTTCAACTTATTTTTGCTTTTTGTGGGGTGACCATGGATCAGCTCAGAGCAGATTGCCCAGTTAACCCAGCAAGTGGCTCTTTTGGCTTCACAGGTGGCACAAATGCAAGCTGCCTGGCCACGCTGAAAATGCCCAGTAGCAGTGCCAGATAAATTTGATGGTTCGCTGGCCCAATTTCCAGAATTTTTTGGGCAGTGCCAGCTTTACATGAGCCTTCGGCCTGAGGACTTTCCCACTGACTGGGATAAGGTGGGGTTTTTGGTTAGTTTGCTGTCAGGCTCTGCAGCACATTGGGCAACGCCTCTGCTGACCCAGCCCAACCAGGTGTTGGACAATTACACTGAGTTTTGCTGTCAGTTTCAGGCCATGTTTGAGGACCCTGTTCAAAGCTAAACAGCAAACAGACGTTTGAGAGAGTTGAAGCAGGGGCGTGGCTCACTCATGGATTATATTGCTATTTTCAGGTGGTTGCTCAGGATGTACAATGGAATGAGGCAGCACTATTAGACCAGTTCCAGGAGGGTTTGTCATCGGAGCTCCTGGATGAGTTGGCGCGCACTGAACGCCCTCACACCCTTCAGGACCTCATGCATTTGTGTCTTTGTATCGATGCTAGACTTCAGCAGCAATGAGTGCAACGATGGACAGAGACCGTATCTGTTTCCAGCAAGATGGTGCCCTTGGTGGAAGCGCCTTTGGAGGAACCCATGCAGTTGGGGGCTGGCCACCCTCACCTGAATCAAGTAGAAAAGAATAGACATTGTGATGGTTTATGCCTCTATTGTGGCAATCAAGGCCATTTTGCGGCCAAGTGTCCTGTTAAGACATCCACAGCAACACCTGCAGTGGCGGAAAACGAGCATAGCTCGGCCTAAGGGGGTCTGCAGGTCGGGGTGTAAAGTCCATAGGCCCACCATCTTCACCAGTCTTGCCACCCTCGCCACCTTTGACATCTTCGACATCTCCACCACAGTCACTATTGGTGATATTTACCAATGATACAACCATTGAAAAAGCTCGATCACCATTACTTGGGACCTTTTCTAGTCGAGGCGGTGATCAATCCTGTGGCTTATCATCTCTCCCTGCCACGGACCATGAGTATCCATCCTGTTTTTCATCATTCCCTATTAGTCCCTGCCTTGCCCGACAGTCTGCATAGACTGGCTCCATCACAGCTGCCCCCAGTAGCTCCTCTGGGAGAGGAGGAATACGAAGTGGATAGCATCCGAGATTCATGCCAGTTGCGGGGCCGATTTCAGTATTTGGTGGCATGGAAAGGTTATGGACCAGAGGACTTCACCTGGATCGATGCCACTAATGTTCATGCTCCTCGTTTGGTCCAGGACTTTCACGCTCGGTTTCCTCAATGTCCTTGTCCGCCTGGCCCCAGGGAGGGGGCCCTGCAGGGGGGGGGGATAGTGTCATTTACTTTTGTGACTTTAAACTGTGCCTAATAAAACGGTGAAGTTGTTAAAGGCTTTACCAGACTTTAATATATGTTTTGGGTTTTCGGTTATTTTGAGAGACTAAGGGTCATCACAATATTTGCAAAGGAAAGGTCTCCCAGAAATTAGAGAGGAACAGAAAGATATTAAATAAAGAAATAACAGTGATGAAATTGAAAATGGCAGTGGAAAGGCAGAAAAATAATAAGACGCCAGGGCCGGATGGTCTTCCAGTGGAACTGTATAAATGTATTTATGAATGTCTTGAAACAGTGAAGTTAGATATGTACAAATTACCCGACTCATGGAGAGAAGCAAATATCTCACTAATTCTTAAAGAAGATTTAGATCACAAACAGATTAAAAATTATAGACCAATCTCACTTTTGAACGTAGACTATAAAATATTCACAACAATAATGTTGGAAAGATTAAAAATTATATTAAATGAACTTATTCATATTGACCAGAATGGCTTCCTACCTTCTAGACAGATAAGAAACAATTCAAGGACAGTATTAAATGTATTAGAATACTATGAGGCCCACCCGGAAAAGCAGGCAGCATTGATTTTCTTGGATGCTCAGAAGGCCTTCGACAATCTCAGCTGGCAGTTCTTGATCCAACAGGTTGAAAATCTGGGATTTGGATTTAAATTCAAGAAAATGATAGGCACAATTTATTCGAACCAAAAAGCTAGGGTAATTATAAATGGGGAAATTACTGAAAACAATTATGATTATGAAAGGTGTTAGGCAGGGATGTCCAATGTCGCCTCTGCTTTTTATCTTGACCATGGAAGTGCTTTTAAATCAGATTAGGCAAAGAAAGGAGATAACTGGACTGAAGAGCAAAATAGAAGAATATAAAGTAATATAAATATAAATATAAAGCAAACAAAGTTTTTTTTGTGGAAGATCCAATGGAGTCAGGGACCTATCTAATTCAAGAATTAGAAGAAGATGGGGTGGTAATAGGACTAAAAATTAATAAAGATAAAACAAAAGTAATAACCAAAATTTGATAGAAAGTAAAACAAAAAAGAATTGGAAAAGAAATTGGGATTACAAAGTGTCAAAAAATTTAAATATTCAGGAATCTGGTTAACAGGAAGATGCTCTTCCATAAAAGAAGATAATTATATGAAATGACTTTTACAGATAAAGAAAGACCTGGCCAATTGGGGAAAATTACAACTATCAGTATTAGGTTGAATAGCGGCCATAAAAATGAACATATTACCGAACTAATTATATTATTTTCGAACAATACCTATAAAATTGGATAAGAACTTTTTTCAGGAATTAGATAGGACGGTAATGAAATTTATATGGATGGGGAAAAAAGCACGAATAAAATTGAAAACGTTACATGATAGTAGAACCAGAGGCAGCCTTGGACTCCCAAAATGGGAAACATATTATCAAGCAGCAATTTTACTATGGGTTAAGGAGTGGATAAATTTAAAAAATATTTTTTTTTTGGCAATAGAAGGTCATGACCTGCAAATTGGGTGGCGTGCCTTTCTATGGGATAAAAAGAATAAGATCCACTCCTATTTCCATAGACATTTGATAAGGGACTCACTTTTACAAACATGGGAGAAAATAAAAAAAGCATTATTTGAAAAGACTAAACTGGATCTCACCCATGGAAGGTATATTATATCCAAATACAAGGGACATTAAAAAAAATGATTAGATATAAAGAATTGGTAGATGAACAGGGGGAATTAAAAACACTGGATAAACTAAAAGAACAAGGGATAACATTAGACTGGTGGGTATATTTGCAAATTCAAACTAAATTTAAGAAAGATGTAAAGGAGCTAGGAATAGATAAAAGATTTACAAAAATTGGACCAAATATTGACAGGCAAGGATATAAAATTTATAACGCGAACATTCAATTACCCACTGGAGGTGGAATTAGAGGAGGAAATTGTTAAGGGACCAATGATTGCCTGGGTGAGAAATGTGGGTCATAATATAAGTTTAGATGAGTGGGAAAAGACTTGGACCGAGAACTGGAAGCTGACTTTGTCGACAGTATTCAAAGAAAATCAATACAAAATGTTTTGTAGATGGCACCTAGCACCGGCACGACTGGCAAAAATGTATCCAACCTTGAAACCGGAATGCTGGAAGCGCAAACAAAAGAAAGGAAGGTTTTCCATATATGGTGGCAGTGTATAGAGGTCAAAAAATACTGGAAGGAAATACAGAGATGGCTCTTCGAGATTACAAAATATAAATTGAAATTGAAACCCAAAACTTTTTTATTAGGTATGATTAAAGGGAATTTGAATAAAGATAAAAGATACCTTATTGTACACATCTTAACTGCAGCAAGAATCACGTTAGCGCAAAATTGGAAGAGTGATAAAATACCACCAGATGAAGTTTTGATTCAAAAAATAATGGACTGTGCTGAACTAGATAAATTCACTATGGAACTGAAAGGCAAAGAGGATCGAGAATACTATGCAACATGGGAGAGGTGGTATGAATGGGTGAAGAATAAGGATAAAAATAATGTATAGTCACAAAACATGTATATACAATGACACAATAACTGTTAATGGAAATGAGATTTTTGTATTTTTTTTAAGAATAAAAATTTAATTAAAAAAAAAAGATATTGGAGCTTTTAAACTTGGATAGAGTATTCTGGCAGAAATTGCTAGGGTTGGAATGAAAAGGAATGAGGTTTAAAAGCACTTTCCAAGTCTAATTAAAGTTTGGAATCTCTAAGAAGTTAGAACAGTCTAATGGAAGCAGAAGGAATAGTTGTTTCAAGAGTCCTCTATTTATGTAAAAATGGGAAAGATATTCAGGCAAGAAATATTAACCGTAACAGTATAGCAGAGTTGGGAAGGAGCTTGGAAGACCTAATCAAACCTGCTGCTCAGGAGTTAGGTTTGATTGCTATTCCTTTGTGTTGTGCTAAAATGATCTTTTACCATTATTTCTATACAAACTTGCAAACTCTGATTTTACCCATTTTTCAACTTGGGTGTGAAGATACTTATTTTCTTTATTTTTCTTTATTTTGTCTCAATACCAATACTTCTCCAAAACAAAACACATCATTTGCAGTAGATGAGAACCAAAACATGTCTGCAAATGCTTTGCATTTTGGGGTAATTTTTTAAAAAAAATTGCCAGTCATTTCACTGTGATCTGAAAAGCTTTATAACTGATAATGCACCAACATTGATTATTTGCAACTTAATAGCAGAAGTTAAAAAGATTTGACAGATTACTTGTCTTTTTAAATAAAATTTAACTGGTCTATCTGCAGAGGAAAGAACAACTACCTAATCTAATCACGTGCATCTATGCTCCACAGCCAGGATGTTGCACTATTGAAATTAGTTTTGGTTTTTTGGCACTTCTTTTCAGTCTCCAGAAAAAAAAACATGTTGTTATAGCCTTATATCGAGCATCAGTGTTAGAGCGAGCACATCAAGACTCGGAGGGCTTCCTGGTAGGAAAATTGAGAATCCCAACCTTCCATGCTACATGATAGGCTTAGCCATTCAACAACTACAATATGCTAAGGAATGGCTTTATTAAAATCCGGATATTGGAATTTTGACTACTTGGCTGTTGAAGCCTAACAGTATTTGAAATAAAGACATGTGTGTTTCATACATCAGGTTTAGCCATTATGGCACTTATAATATTGTGAGAAGGTGATCTATAAATTCTTCCTATTATGTGAATATTTCCACTGTAGATTAACTGCTTAAGTTTTTGTTCTTATAACTAGATGGGGAAAGGATGTGCAAGCAATGTGGCCCTTTAAAAACATTAGCACTCTGATAGACTAAATAATTATTTTTATTGTGTTTCATTTTACTATTTTATAAAATAATTATCGTACTTGTAGAAGTACCGGTAATTATATTTTTCACACACTCTCTTATTGTCACAAGGTAGGTTCTAACATAGGCTGTCTTCCGGTGCTCAGTTTGCCTTCTTTATTGGTAGTAAGACACAAATATTTTGGTATCATCTCTCTCACCACAGATGTAGAGGGCAGCACACCAGGTAGCAGCTCTCATGGTTTCAAGACTGTTTTGCACAAATGCTGAGATGCTTTCTTAGCAATCAACTATTGTAGTACTAAAGCAGAAGGTGTTCTTATCAGGGCCCAGCTTTAAGCAGTAATTTATGGTGGTCTTCTTGTTCAGAGTGATGCAGTCTCTATCCAGATCAACAGAACTGAGTGCTAGAGCCCAATTCCAATATTTGTATCTTGCATATTAAGCCTACTTCAAGAGATAGTCTTGGTTTGATGGTAGTTTCACCTCTGAGCATCTTCTGAACAGAATAGTAGGGCTATGTGTACTTTGCAGCCTGAATCCCCTCTCCCCAAGGCAAAATTAGATCTTTTGACTGGGCAAAATTAGATCTGTTGACTCTGGTAAATTGTGAAATTAAAGATGAAAGGAAATGGCACCGCCGGTACCATCAAATGTCCAAATGAAGACAGCCCCCTGCTGAAAATCAACAATAAACATGTTTTTTTTCTGTGTTCTTTCTTGCATGGATTTCATACGGAAGACCCGAGATTTCGATCCGCACCTCAACGGTGCGAATCATTTTCCATCGAAAAAAGCAACTTCAGTGAGGAGCCTCCATCATAACACCCGAGCCCCGAAGGCGTGTGGATGAGGAAGAAGAGGCAAAGCTCCCTTGCCTCACGACCACTTGCCCGCTCTTGGCGGCGCTCTTGGGTGTGGCATAAATCGCAGCCCCGAGGCAGGAGGGAGGACGGTGGGTGGGCGGGTGGGTAGGCTGGCCGTGTCAGTGCTGACGCGCTCGCACACGGATCCCGTGCGGTGACGTTGCCCTTCTCCCTTTCTCTCGCTCTTCCTTCCCCCTACTAGCCTAGAGGCCGGCGGCTGGCTACTCCCCGCGAGAAAGGCGAAGCCTCAACCCCACTGCAGGGTTCTGCTCCGGCACTGATCAGCTCTTGGCACTGAGCGGAGCCGAAGGCAAAGCGACAGCCGCGCCAAAGGGTCTCGGCAATGACGGCGTCCTGGAGGGAGAGATTCGACAAGTTCCTGCACGAGAAGAACTGCCTGACCAATGTGCTGGCTAAAATTGAGAGCAAGACCGGCGTCAGCAGGTCCTATGTCGCCATCGGTGAGTGTTGTGCTTCATCCCCACCCAGCCTTGCAGAGGGAATTTGGCCCGCCGAAGCTTCGATGTTCTCTAACGGTGGGGGAGGAGGGGGAGGAATGGAGGCTTCTCTGGAAGACGAACCCCGCCTTGGAGTGGACGTTTGTTTGCTTTGCTAGCAGATGTGGCCTTGGCTCGCCTCCGAAGTCTTTCTTCCCTTCTCCAGGCCACGGCCCAGTGACAATATGGGCCTGTCTGTAAGATGCTGCAATGACTGGCGCGATCTTTCTAGCTAGGAGGGGTAGCCAGCCTTGTCTTAAGTACGCAACGTTCCCTCTCGGCTTGTTTTGTTCTTCCACTGCACCCTTAGGGCATAGTGAGAACTTGACGGCTCTCCTCCACCTCGCCACAGGGAGAATGGTGGCGCAGGTAGTCCTCGACTTACAACCACAACCACAAGCTGCTAAGTGAGAAATTTCTTCGGTGAGCTTTGCCCCAATTTTATGACTTTTCTTGCCACATCTGTTAAGTGAATCACTGCAGTTGCTAAATTGGTAACCCAGTTGATCAGTGAATCTGGCTTCCTCATAGACTTTGCTTCTTGTAGAAGGTGATTACATGACCCTGGGACACTGTCACCGTCATAAATGTGAATCAGTTGTCAAGCACCCAATGTAAATCATGTTACCAGGGGATGCTGCAACCGTCATAAGTGTGAAAAATGGCCATGTCACTAAGTAAACTGTTGTAAGTCAAGGACTACTTGTACTTGGAACTTCTACTTTCTATCATATTTATTGATAATCTTGCAGGGCATCTTGTGCGGGTAGTTCAGAGAAATGCTTGCCAAAATTCCTGGGATATTGAATGATGAAATAGTAGCCTGGCTGGCAGGGCTCCCGTTACGGCAAATTAGATTCCCCCACCCCCTTACAGCTCTTCAGGGCAACTTCTAAGGCTAAGCCTTCTTGTGGGGGAAAAAAGAGCTTGGAAGTGTAAATGGGATCATCTCCTCAGGAAACAGAACTCCCTTCAGCAGTTTTAGGGAAAGCATAATTGTACATAAATAAAGGGTAGTAATTGACTCGCTGACCTGTCTTGATTTCTTCTCTCATCTGGCATGCATCCCTTTAGTATAACAGGTTAGCTCCTTCTTACATTCCTGTTTTGTCCGCACCCTTTCCTATGTCTTCTATCTGAAACTTGTAGGTAAATGGCAAGCTGACTTCATCCTGAATGTAACTTTTGGTAAGAGTGAGTGAGCTGAAAGTTTGGCCCTATGGAAATATTTTCCATTTCTTCTCTGTTTCTTCTTTTAATAAAAGGTTGCTCCTCTATGTAACAGGACCTCATCATGTTTCCCACCCATCTAGTAAGTCTCCATCTTGATTGATGGATTGACTTTCTGCTTTTTCTTTCAGCCATTATTGCTGTGCTGGCTATTTACTTGGTTATTGGCTATGGAGCATCATTGCTGTGCAACCTGATCGGATTTGGTTATCCTGCATATATCTCGTAAGTATTCTGGCAGCTAACCCTTCTCTTGCTACATGCTGGGAGTTGGTTACGGGTGAAAGATAATATTATTTCTCAGGCATGTGGTTGCCAATAGTTTGCAAACCATTACACTGTGGGGACTGGGCTTTTATTCCCAGGCAGTGATTGCATTTGCCAGATTGCTTTTGAAATCAGCCTGTGGCATTTTAGAGATTGGGAATAAGAAGATTGGGGGCAGATGCCAATTGCAGGCCTCATTGTAGTCCTTTGCATGTTGCTGCAATGTTAGAACCAGCCATAGGCTAAAGATGAGGCGACGAACCAATGCATTGCGATAGTGTTTTGCTCTGTGTATTCCATCTCTTACTATGGAATCTACATGTACTCAGAAGGAACAAGACTGAAGGTTGATTTGAATTAGAGCTGCAACTCACCATACTGTATTTTTTCTGAGAGGATTGGAAAATATACGCTGTCTTCAGTGAAATGGGTTAGGATGCGACATTAGGATGCTCTGGTTAGCGGAGAGAAACAATTTCAGATTGTGTTTCACTTACTTAAATATAAGTAAGTCCTGTAGTAAAGGAAACCTCAGGTTGGTTTCATGTGCAGAGGTATATTGTTTACCGCTGCAGTATGGTATAAAAACTTAGTATTTGAAACTGCTGGTGCAGATCAGACATTAGAGGCAGAGTTTTTCAACTGTTTTGTGCTATTTCTAAGATGGTTGAAAATGTTCAGTTTTGAATATTGTCCAGGATGTATTTGCATGTATGAATCCCATCCAAGGGCTAAAATTAGTATTTCACTGCCATTTCTAATTTTGGTTCATTTCTTTAAATAATATTTGGGGACCTGTATTTTTCTTAAGTTTCTAAATCACTGCAGCACTTCAGCAATAGTTAGAAATAGTGAGACATTTGAATGTTGTATAATCTGTCTTGCCTGTTTTAAAAATGACTACGTTCTAAATAGGACTGGTTAAGAGTTCAGGATTTTATGTCTTTGTTACCATCTATTGATGAATCAGATTCTCAGCTCAGAAGAAAATAGGAAATTTATAACTGGGACTGTGTTTAAAAATATCTAAAATAGGAATCAGGACTAGGAAGGTGTTGAGGAAAGGGTAAAATTAATAATACATTACTTATTTGATACTTTGAAGCTGTATTTTGAAAAGAAAGAAAAACCAGAAAAGAAGAAAAACCTGATAGTGTACAAGTCCATATGTATGTTCTTCTGCTATATGGTTAATAGATTTAAATTGATTAAATAGCACAAATAAAGGATTACATTTTTCTGCACCCAGCACTGCAGTCAATTTAAAGGGTCCACTCCTGCTGCTGTCAACAAAGACAAAAAATATCTGGAAATATCCCACATAAAGTCACCTTTCAATGAAGAAACAATCTTAATGGACTATTTCATATCACTCTTGACAAATATGTTTGAAGGCCACAGCTATATTATATTATGTCATCTCTGCATTGTGTTTTGCTAACCTCCATTTTGATTATAATAATGCTTCACAGAAAACTTGCATGTGTGCATTCCTCCTTCGCTCCTTTAAAAATAAAACTGCAAGGAATGAAAGGTAGTCCAGAACTGACAGAAAAACATTGATTATTGTTGCAACACTTACTGTTTTCTGAGAGAACAGCTGCTTTAGAGTTAAGACAATATTGGCTGGACTAGATAAGCTGAGATCATGGGCACAGATATGGCTTAGCCAATTTTGCTCCATGATCTCAATATGGATAATCAGTTTAAACTAGCCACAATATTGCTTACTGTGTCACGTGGATCAGATCTGTGCCTTTATTGTATACAAGCTCTCTTATGTACATGTTTACCATTTAATGATCTGTATGTTTGATTTATTCATTATATAATGATTAGCCAATCCAAATAATACAATATTTCTCAATGTTGTCAGTTCACACCTATGGAAATCAATTTTTCCTTTTCTTCCTCCCAGTTTACAGCTTAATTTCTGTTAGACCTGTTTTGAAATACTTTGATAGAACACAGGGCAACATTTTGAAGCAGCTTCAAAACTGTTTGAAAAGTTTGTACTTACCATAGGGCCTCCCTTAGATATATTACTTTCTGTTCAGAGTTTAATAACTTCTGTATTTTGTGGTTGGAAATTCATGTTTCCTGTAAAAGATGGTATAACCATTAACATTTAACTCATTGGTGCAGGAAGGTAGCAGAAATGAGTCAGTAAAATTGCATACAAGTAGAAGGGGTGAATCTCCAATAGAATGCATTGGGTTCTTTAAGACTTATTAAATATTGATGCTCCCAGCAAGGATATAATGCAGCTTGGGAAGACAAGTCTCTATTGAAATTGCTTTTCCAGGTGCATAAACATGGAACAGTAATCTCAAGTGCCACAGCAGTGAGGACAAATGGTGAAGAAGTGCAGCATGCATGACATGCAAAGAATGTTTGTGGAGTATGGAAAAATGGATAGCCATTGGGTATTTCATATGCAAAATGTTACACATATCAAAATAGGCAAAATATGATACAGCATATGGCTTGTCATATGGTTTTAATCTGACTATGAATGCAAATTGAATGCAAATATCTCTGGATCAGTTTTTGTTGTTGCTGGTGCTATTTTTTTTATATGAACCAACAGAGTTTTCCTCCAAAATATAATTCAGATTACTTATGTAATTATACAGTCATGAAGGCTGTTCGTTGAGTAACTGTGTAATCCTGAGAAAAAAATGCTGCTTTAAAACATTACAGACAGGTGTTACATTAGCATTTCAATTTGCTCTGAAACAACTGTGAGAAATTAAATCTGAAACTTGCACAGCTCTTATAGAATATTTTGTAGGCATCATAAATCTGTTAAAAGAAGGATGATAGGTTATGGCTACATGAATAGGTAGCATTTATTGAGTTGTTTTTTGCCTAACATCTCAGAAATTAAGGTAGGCATAATCACCATTTAATTAGGCAGGGACAGGAGATTGGCTGAGTAAATAAGATTATTGCTGTCTCAGATTTAGTTACTAAATCTCTGACTGGGCTGGAAAAGACTTAGTCTCCAATACTGAAGTGTCTTAATTTTGAGGTCCCAAAAGTTTTTTTCCAAAAGGCAACTGGACTTTTTTTCTTCCTTGAAGACATTTTGCTTCTGGAGAAATCTGGTTTGAAGGGCTTCGGCGACAGACAGGAATCCACGATTGTGCGTGGTTTCTGCCTGGGCTCACTGCTGGAGCGCCCCAAGCTGGCTAGTTTTGGGGCTAAGCCACCCTGTAGAGGTGGTGAAGAGGGGGGAGACCTCCAGCAGGGTCAAGGAGAGCCGCATCTCTCCTTCTCAGCTGGCCATTAGTCCCTTTCCTGAAGGCGGTAGGAGCAGTGGTCAGAAATGGCCACCTCAAAGAAGAACTCAACCAGAAAAGAATGTGCAGAAGGAAGATAAGAAGAGAAAGTTTTGGCTAACCGGGCTAAGTTGAAAAAGTAATAACTAAGGTACCCTGGAATTTAAATTTTACAAGAAATAACATCGCTCCCAAAGAAGAGTTGGAAGCAGTGAAAGAAAGTGAAAAGGGAAAGGTTTGGCTTTTTTTTTTCTTCTCTCTCCTTCCTTATATTGACAACTAAGAGACCTAAATAAGAAATTGGAAAAATCCGCTTTGGCATCAATAGGCAATTAAGCTGAAAATATAACTAAATGCCAAAGGGACAATAAAGATTTCTGGACATTAAAAACTTTTTCTTCTATAAGCAGGAAGGGAGAGAAAAAGAATAAGGGCAGGATCTGGAAGAGGGAGGAGACTGCCTGGACTTTAAAAGAATCTAAAGTAAAATTTCAATAAGACTTCTAAAAGATACATTTTAACTGAAACTTTGCAACTAAATAGTAACCCCAGGAAGAGAAAGTGGAAAAAAGAAAGAAAGAGCAAAAAGAAACAGCTTGCGTGTATTTGGATTAGGGAAATAGAGGTAGAGAGACAAAGGGGTAAAAAGGCGAAAGAGAAGAGAGGGAAGAAGGAAAGATAAAGAAGTTACAAAGGTCCAGAGCAAGATATAAAGAAACAGGACCTATAGAGATAATGGGTGAAAATCTAACTGAAAAAGGGATTCTGTAAAGGTACATAAGATTGTATTGTTATATTTGTAATAGAAATAACTTTAGAAAATTGGAAACAACATATGATTAGAATGAGGGATAAAATAGTGTAATTTAGTGAAATGTTTGTGAATAAAATAAATAAAATAAAATAAATGAGAAAATTGAATTAGGAAGGAACGGGAACATTTTAATTAGTCAATGTTTTATAAAATATAAGTGAAGCAGGGGGAATTAACTATGGAAAGTTTATAATTGTTCCCATAGAAGTATGATATTTAATTGAAAAGTAACATGAAAAATGTTAAGACCTTAATGAATATTAATGATAGAATTGAATTGGAATGGAATGTTGTTTTAATTACATACATTTATATTTTTTTTCAAGAATACTGTGTGTAGTTTAAGAATGTACCAAGCAGAATCCGAATGGAAGTTATGTATATGGAGTGTTATAATTTTAGGGGAAAGATATAAAGGTGTCATACTCCAATCAGTAACTACAGTAGAAATGTTGTTTAATGAGAAGAGATAATAGACAATTGAAACAGGACAGGCAAAAAATATAAATATAATGATTTGGATTGAGATGAAATAAAATAAAATTGAGAAAATTAAAAGAGGGGAGAAGCCATGTAGAAAATGTAAAATAGTAATAAGATATGGAATAGAATATAAAAATGAGCATGAACCTGAATTTGCGTCTGTACAAAGAAATGTAACCCGAGATTATGTGCTTTCAAAAAAGATGTTTTATTTGTATTTCTTTACTTTTCGTGAAAACTCAAATAAAATGTACACACACAAAAAAAGAAGACATTTTGCTTCTCATCCAAAAAGCTTTCTGGAGCTTGAAAAAGCACTTTTGGCAAAACCATGACCTGGATGACAGATAATCTCCATGGACACTTACATTCAAGGC